TTATGAAATAAATTATAGAAGCATTAAACTTTGACAATATTGTGCTAAAATGTTAGGCAATTGTGCAAAAATACTGTAAATTAAGAATGCTTTTAGAAATAAGTGTTAACAGTTTATTTTTATCAATTAACAAAATGGAAAGTAAATGAAATAATAGAAATCCAAGTCAAATCATTATTTGATATGACCACACTTCACCTTTAAAACAGTGTCATTTTTTACACTTGCACAAAGTCAAGGATTCTGTAGCATTAGAGTTAGGTTTACAATTAACCAATTATATCAAGCAGGTGCTAATGATCATCAATTTCCTATGTAGGGTAAAACAGTCATTGACTGAAACAGAAACAGCTGTGTAGGAGGCTCAAAACTGGGTGAGGAATAGCCAAACTCTGCTACTCAGGTGAGGTTATAGACTAGAGTTTCAAATCACAGATCATACACCATGAGCACAAGACAAAAGGCAGTTATACTGCATCTCCTAGGCAAAGATTTCAAAGGAGACTGGGGTTTTAGGCTGTTTTGAAGACACACAAGGAAATGGGCAACATTAAGGACTGTAGACACAGTGGTCAGCCAAGGAAGCAATGTAGCAGATGAAAAGATACACCATGCTTATTTCCCTTCAACATCTGAAGATGTCTAGCAGTGTCATCACATCAGCACAGAATTGGCAGAAACTAGGTACCCAGGTATACCCCTCTACTGTTCGGAGAGGTCTGGCTAGAAGTGGTCTTCATAGAAGAATTGTAGTCAAAATGCCATACATCTGATGTAGAAACAAGGCTAAGTACTCAACTTAGCCTCAGGGCTTGGGGTGCAAATAAATGGCAGTGATCTGGACTTGAGTCAACATTTGAAATATCTGGCTATAGCAAGAAGCAGTTTGTTCGCCAACGTGCTGGAGAATGGTACAGGATCAATAGTGTCCTCACTCCTGAGAAATTCAGGCAGATACCTATCCATCATGCCATACCATCAAAGAATGTGCGTGTTTGGCCTGAATTTTATTCTGCAAAAAAACATCCCCAAACATACAGCCAATGTCATTAAGAACTATCTTCAACATAAAGAAGTGATGGTTTGGCCTCACAAATCCCTGATCTCAATACTGTCTGGGATTGCATGAAGAGAGAGAAGGATTTGAGGCGGCTTACATCCACAGACAATCTGTGGTTAGTTCCCCATAGATATTTAGAACAATCTTGAAACCTTGCAAAGTTTCTTCAAAAACTGTGTGCAAATGTACCTAGAACAATTTATGCTGTTTGTAGGCAAAGGATGGTGACACCAAATATTCATTTGATTTGGAGTTCTCTTCTGTTCATTTACTTTCCATTTTGCTAACTGATAAAAAAAACTATTAACACCTCTATTTCTAAAATAATTTTAATTTACAGCATTTTTGCAGAACTGCCTAATACTTTTGCATAATATTGTCAAAGTTTAATGCTTCTATAATTTATTTCATAAGCAAAGTAATCAAACATGTCCTATTACATTGATTATTATTACATGAAAAATAATTGCTCTCTACTTCTTATCTTTTCCTTCTAATAAGTAGCAAGGCCAAAACCTTTGCAGAGGGGAACCATGTTGCTTAATTTATTTTTGCCAGATGCTAAATATATTTGTTTTTAAAATAACTGCCTTTCTCTTTTCACAGATAGCTGTGTGTTCCTACTATGCACATCATCTGTCAGTGTTCAACTTGGAAACCATGTCCTATTGCCACACACTTGAGAGCAAAGAATCAATGCTTTTTTTATATAATGCTACCTTAACATACACTGGGCATTATTTAGTGCTTTCCAATTACAATGAGGAGGAAAAAATCAGCTATGTAACACTATGGAATTTAATCACAGGAAAGGTATAATTTCTGCAATGCTTGGGCAACAACAAAAATTTGTAGTATCATGGTTTCTAAAGCAAAAATGATAAACAATCTAAGATCTCTGCAAATAATGTCTGAACAAACATGATTTATCTTATCACTCCCTTTCACATTTCCATTAGTTAGTTTAAAATGATTCCTAATTTTGGAATGTTTGACTTGGGTTATTCTATCATCAAACTATTCCTTCTATAATCCAAATAACCCAGATCTTCTACAATACACCTTTTTAGTATAGAGTTGCAAAAATGTCCAAAAACATTTTTTTTATATGTTCAAGAACAGGAGCTAAATATTTCAAGTCTTTATTTTGGATTTTGAGGCACATAGGAGGGGTAAAATAGGCAGCATGGTCTTAATGTTGCAGATGACAGATATCTTTTATTCCTTAAAAATCTCAAATCTCCTTCCCAAAAGGGTCCTGGCCCTGCCCAGTTTTGAAGTGTGGCTCTTGACATTTGGGCATTTTACTTCAGTCATTATTCCTTCATTCCTTGCCTTTCCACAATACAGCCAAGTTCTGGAAGAATAAGGATGAACAGGAAAACATTACCTGCAGTTATACACCTGCAAACCTACATATCTATATGCTTGTATGTAAAGTTACCCATAAACAATTTACTCAATTTTTTTTCTCCGTTATAAAAATATAGGTTAGAAAAAGATTAAAAAATGAACCTAATGTCTGCTGTACAGCCATTACTGCAGATAGCAGTAGGATCATTTTTGGAGTGATGGTGGATAACTTGTAAGTAAATACCAAAATTTATAGTTATTACTAGAAATAATTGTAGTGTGCCCAATAAATTGCTTGGTTGCATTCCACAAAGATACTGAAGCAACATGAGAATACAGGTAGTCCTCAACTTACAGGCACACAATTTATATTGTTAAATGAGAAATTGGCTGTGAATTTTGTCCCATTTTACAACTTTCCTTGCCACATTCATGAAGTGAATCACTGCAGTGTCTAAAGGTCCCAAAAAGGGATCATATGACTCCAGGATACTACAACCATCATAAATATGAATCAATTGTCAAGCTTCTGAATGTAAATCACAGGACCATGGGGATGCTGCAATGGTCATATGGGTGAAAAATGTTCATAAGTCACTTTTTTCGGTGCCACTGTAACTTCAAACGGGCATTAAATGAACTGTTGTAAGTCAAAAACTATCTGTACATATATATAGGTAGTCTTCAGCTTAGGATAATTGAGCCCAAAATTTCTGTTGCCAACTGAGACAGTTGTTGAGTTTTGTCCTATTTTACAATCTTTGTTGTAATAGTTGTTATTAGCAATACAATTGTTAAATGAATCTGACTTTCCCATCAACTTTACTTGTCAGAAGGTTGTAAAAGAGGATCACATGCTCTCAAGACACTGCAACTGTCATAAATATGAACCAGTTGCCAAGCATCTGAATTTTGATCATGATCATGCAACAATTTTAAATGTGAAATGTCATAAGTCATTTTTTTAAGTGTTGTAATGTTGAACAATCACTAAAGGAATAGTTGTAAGTCAAGAACTACCTGTAGCTGTAGACATTTATGTGGAATATTAATATTATCCAATATTTTATAACAATTCAACAGAAAGTTGGATATTTTTATTACATACAGAAAATGCGAAAGATTGAAAAGATAAATGCAATTATTCCTTGAACCCATTTTGAAGATGCCTGGCTACAGTTTGCAAATACCACAGCTTTAAGCTTTATAGTAATAAGTTAATAATATCTAGTGAGATATTCTTGCATTTAGATACATAGGCATTTATTCATAATAATCAAAAACAACTTGAGGTAGCTTTGAGAGGTTATATATTCCAAATACAACTTCCCTCCCCACTAATGTAAAGAAGTTGATGATACAAGCTATTAATTATTAAACTTAGCATACCACCAAAAATAATATAACGGGCATTAGGGCATTAGATATTTTTATGTAAATGTGCAAAATAGATCCAACTATATAATTAAGATGTACTGCTTTTACTAAAACCAGAAGTTATTTAAATAGTCCAGTATAAATCAGTTCAGACAGTAGAGTGATTCGAAGTTTTGACAAAGTTAATTATAGCAAAAGCACTTAGATTTATATACCGCTTCATAGTGCTTTACTGCACTCTAAGTGGTTTCCAGAGTTAGCATTTGGAACCCAACAATCTGGATCCTCTTTTTACCGACCTTGGAAGATGAAAGGATGGGTCAATATCTAACAAAATATGAAGCTATATACAAAATAATTATTAAACAAGTTGTTTCTCAGATTGCAATATTCTATTTTCTGATTTCCTGTTTACAAAATAGTAGGTAAGGTTGAACTAAATGCCAAGTTTGTTAATTATATCTATAATATTATCAATTCTAAATAATGTCCAAACTGATACATTTTTTCTTGTGGTTTATAGAATTAAAATTTGGGATCCATTTAAGCATAAACACAAATTAATGCAAGGTTATGAAGGCCTTGATCTGACTGTGAATAGCAAATTGCACATATTAGATGGAACAAAAGCAATTCTACTTGCAGGTTTGTTCGCAATTTCTTTTGTAGGTTAAAAAAATGCATTCCAAGACACATGTTCTTTTAATTTTTAATATTATAAGTTATTTATAACTAATTCTACTGAAAACACCAAACTTAATATGCCATTGTTATTCTGGTCCTAAACGTTCACATAACTTGCAGAACACATTTCTGTTTGTCCTATACCAGCGATGGTGAACCTTTCTTGGCTTGCGTGCCATAAGTGGGGGGAGCGTGGGAGGGGCATGTGCGGGGATGCTGCACCCATGATACAATGTGCGACCCCCAGTGTGCTTGCACGCACTACAGGCACAATCCCCCTCCCCATTAGCCTCCGGGGTGCGGGGAGGCTCTTTTTGTCCTCCCCAGGCTCCTATAAAGCCTCTGGAGCCTGGGGAGGGTGAAAAATGGCTTTAAAAAAGGGTGAACTCAGCTGGCCAGCGCACACATGTGCACTGGCCAGCTGACAGGGCAACGCCTTGCGTGCCCTGACAAATGGCTCCACATGCCACCTGTGGCACGCGTGCCATAGGTTTGCCATTACTGTCCTATACATTAGCTTTTTATGAGTATTTAGAATACACACTATTATTTTCTGGTATACCTATAACTGGAATATATAATGAATGCATTATATATTATACAAACAGGAAAAATCAGGCTGATTTTTTGCTGGACTTGTATTCAAAGAAATCAATGCCTTATATCTCTAAAGATTGGAAAGCATTTTATTCATTCAATGCTGAAAATCCTGGCACCACAAATAGAGATGCATGCAGCTCATAGACTGCAAGTTGTATGCCCCTATCCTCAATCATGGGTGTGTTTTTTTATTCCTCCTAAAATTTTGTCTTAGATTACTGTCATTAATAGGACAGGCTTTATGGCTCAGCTTGCTGTTAAAATACAACCCACTGTGGTTTATTAATAAATTCTAATCAATAAAATACTGTTTAGCACTATGTCTACAGTGGTTAAAGAAAGAAAAGATGATTTAGTATACATGGTGCTGCATGTGTCAGCAACTCTTTAATTCAATGGATTTTTTCCTGAAAAAAATTAAAGCTGCGTAAGCCTAGGAAAGGTAACTGCAAATTGTGTGACATAAGCCTTCCCATGTGTTCTGAATTATTCTCTGCAATTCAGACATTACACAATTTAATATCCATTAATTTTGGCTATATGGTGCTATTGTTTTGCAAAATTTAATCCAAGCCAAACAGATTCCACAAGAACTTTGCATAACATTATATTTGCATAACAAAGAAGCACAAGCTTCAGTAAAAATGTTAGCGAATGAAATATAAAAACAGATTTTAAAAAATACTTTTTGATACCTATGTGCCTATGCATAAATTAGTCACAAATCTGAACTTACCTACTAACTAGGATACTTCTGAAGAATAAAAGTGGCAGACGTAACTATAACAGTATCAAAAAATAACCAAAAATGTCTTATTCCGTTATTAATTTCAGAATTTTATATTCCATTCTATTTATCACCAATAAATTATACCAAATGTTTTTTTCAACCTTACTGCTATGGATTAGTTGTTATTAAAATGAAGGAAGTTTCCAAGCCAAACTAAATGTAGTAACATGCATTCTCTCTCCCACTTTAGGTGAGGTCAGTTTCTGGGATTTGGAGAGTGGCACAGTTATATCCATCTTTACATTTGATAGCAAAATCTCTTGCATGACTGTTGCCTGTGACAAAAAGACAGTTCTTTTAGGCTTGAGCAACAGTTCTACTCTTACCACTTTGAAAATGATGAGCATAAACACAGCTGAAAATTCAAAAGGAAAAGATTTGTTTGGAGAAGACTCATCAAGCAGTGAAGAAGAACATGAAGATATTTAAAAGATAATTTGAACAAAATAAAATCGAGCATAAACAACTGAAAGTTGACACAGTTTAAAAATCATTGTTTTAAAACAATTGCACATATTTAAAAGAAGACAACAAGCAATTTGCACATAACATAAATAGACAATACTAATTCTCCTACCTGTAAATTAATTCTCCCTTCTCCCCAATAATTATCTGCAAGTCTAAGGAGAAGAAAGATACAGCTGATAATGTAGAAATGTAACTGAAGAAAATGAAACTTTGCTGCCACCAGCTTTGCCTTTCTCTTAGCCCCATACTATGCAAGATGAAAACCTACTCCCCATGTAAAAAAGGAATCAAGAAACTAAAATCTCCATGACAGAAGAAGTTCTTCACTGAAAGAAATGCAAGGCAAAGACAAGTTATAAACATAAGAATTACTGAAGTCAGCTGGAATGAACAAAGAAGGCTTTAATCACTCCATTGTCATTCTGCAGAGATGGAAGAGTGGGGAAATCACCATACATTAAGGAATATATTCCACAATTTATATACCTGGATTTTTGTTTTTTTGTGGTGATGGGTTTGTCTAGAATTTGTTGGATAAGTTTGTTTATTTTAATTTTCCAGTTTTTGAGACATTTTAATTTTAGCCAAGGCATAGAAACAGGATGAGTAACAATTTAGTTATGAAGTTATATTTAGAGAACATTATATATATAGCAATAACAGCTAGACTGCTTCAGTGCTTTACAGACCTAGGTGGTTTACATAATCAATATATTGCCCCCCAACAATCTGGGTCCTCATTGTACCCACCTCGGAAGGATGGAAGGCTGAGTCAACCTTGAAACTGGTGAGATTTGAATTGCAGGCAGCCGGCAGTCAGCAGAAGTAGCCTGCAGTACTGCATTCTAACCCATGGGTGTCAAACTCGATTTCATTGAGGGCCGCATCAGGATTGTGTTTGACTTGGGGGGGGGGAGTGGGCGTGGTCAGGGTAGGCATGGCCAGCCCAACGTCACTCATTTTGGGGAAGCCTGTGGTGGCCCAAGCACTCTGTCAGAGAAAACGGGTTCCTGAGCTCTGTTTTCAGCTGTAACACCTTCCTGCAACCCTCTGCCAGTGAAAACGGAGCTTGGGAGGACCTGCGCGCAGTCCTCCCATGCTCCATTTTTGCTGGCAGAGGCACCGCAGGCCAGTTCTTTACTGTTTCCAGCGGGGCCCCACAGGCCATATCTAAACACCCCACTGGCCAGATCTGGGCCCCGGGCCTTGAGTTTGACACCCCTGCTCTAACCACTGTGCTACCACATCTCTCTTCAATATTATTTTTTCAATTGAAAATAGCCATGCTAAGAAAATCCTTAACATCTCAACATTATATTGTTTTAGTAAATCTATATAATATTCATCATATGAAATGATTCATGCAACTGAGAAATCACAGATGCATTCAAAAGTATTGCTACTCCTTACTTTTTCCCAAGAATCCCAATTTGCAACGAAGTAACTTGAAACTGACAAAAATAAATCCCATTCACCATGACAATTCGAACAATGGACACTTTCATGTATGATTTAACAGATTCTTGTAATTACTAAAACAAGGGTGTCAATAGTTTTCGCCAGCAGCAGAGAGACTAAACATTGGCTCTGTAGGGAAACATAGACACATATTCTCTCTACAAGAGGAAAATGTGCCAGTTATTTTTGATATCAACTATAAAACAAGTTAATGATTATACTTTTATTGTTAGTCCATTTTTGAGGCAACTTCCCTTTTTAGTCATGTTAAATATTGCTCATTAATGCTCTTTTTGGTTATATTAAAACATGTAGAGATTTATTTTAGGTATTATATTGTGTGATGAAACAGAATATATGCTATGTAAACTGCAATTTCTGACTATTCTTACCTTTAACATTTTATAAGCTACACGGTTAAATTTAGAAGGTATTAGAAGAAAATAACACTTCACATCAAAACTCTTTTCATTCTGATGTATAAGACTGTTGCAGTCTGTCAATAAGATTTATGGAACCTGAAATGAGTGTGAATTTAACATAATAACAATTAAGGGTATTAGGAAAACTTCAATACTCATACAAAATGCTAGTTTCACTAGCACTTTAATAATGTATTATTATTGTTCAAGATGTCATCAGACAGAATACTATATTACATGCATTCCATTTTACCACATTTCATATCCTACCTAGAATTTTATTTTTCAATCCTATTCCAAGCTAGACACATCCTACAGTATGCTTAATTGTATTTTATATGCCAAACAGAACTTATTAAAAAAATTCTAACAATCTGTTTATACAAATTAGAAAGATAACTTCTGTATACAGAAGTTCTTTGGATTCCAGCCTATGAATGCATGATAGAAAAAACTGGGGGGAAATTCAGATACAATTTTACAACCAGTATTTTTTATTCATAAATCATAACATGCAAAATATTAGATCCAAGTAGCTGATACATTCTGGTGGCACATTTCTAATTTCCATGTGCTTATGCTCATAAATTTTGAACCAAGGAGATTGTCATATATCAAGCAACATTATATTTTTAAAAAATCAAAACAGAACTTCATAGCAATACTACAGTTTCTCAAAATAGGAAGCATTATAATTTTACTAATGTAGCTGACTAATTGTAATTGACTAAGAATCAGTTTTTCTCAAAAGTAGAGACACAGGTATTGTGGCTGCTCTTATCAGAAGTTAATGCACATCATTTCTGGGTACAGAAGTATCATGTCCACAAACAGATATGAATATGTAAGTAGTCTGTTTTATGGTAATGATGTTGTAGTGCATGTTAGTCAATTAAAGTTAACAAGTTCCAAATTTTACACACAATCATAAAATTACTGTATGATTTCTTTCCTTGGATCATCCAGAAAAGTAAGAAGTAGCAACTACCGAAGCATATTAGTAAGTTACAATTTCCTTTTATCTGTCCATTGCAGAATTATGTTGGGGAGGGGAGCAAATATTCAAATTAAAACATATTATAGCTATAATATTATAAATGTGCAATTGGTGTCCCCCTAACAAGGTAAGGCATGATATTTATAGAAGGCAATGCCATTTGAGCATGACATACCTTGTGGTCAGTTTAGTGAATACAATTAATTCATGAGTCACAATTTCAGATTCAGCACAGATATAACAGCCATATGAAATAATCCAATTTTCATGGTAGTACAATAATTTCTAGGTAAGTGGCTGAATATCTTTAGTCCACATGATGCACCTGTGCTGCCATGCTTTCAAAATAACCATGTTTAAATATTTAAATTAATTTGAAATTTTTGTAGTATCCAAGCTGTATCCAAAATGTAAGAAATGGCCAAATGTTATTTCACACCATAGGAATAAGAATTTAATACTGGAACTTTTTGTTGGCCTGCTTATCTTTATTTTGCAATAGGTTTACTTACATGGAGTCTGTAATGTCTAATAAATAAAATGAAGTACTCTAATCTTCTAGAGAAAAATAAAATTAGTATCTGGGAAAACCTATGGCATTAAGTTAGGCAGTCATATGACTACAGCTATATATCATCAATTTCTGTTCCATTAAAGAAATATTTAGTTTGGGGATACTTTTAGTTATTAATTGTTTCAAAGACATGCCATAGTTCTTAATGTAAAATATTTCATGAAGAGTTGATATATTTCAGATGTATGTTCCCTCTATGCCTATAGGACTACTCTTTCCGAGAATAAAAACTTTTTCCTATGAATGCTCTTTGCTCAGCCCTTAAAGCCTGCAAAGCAAAATAAAATAAAATATTAAGACCAGTCAAGCTTATTTCACAAACTGATCATACAGTATTTATATATTCTTCATATACCTAAATTTTGCAACATGATTACATACTTTTGTTTTAACATCCAAGGAATTATGAACAAGATGACACAAAAGGACTGTAGAAACTGAAGAGCATAGTGAGAAGAACAAATAGTTCAGTTTAGGACTGCAATTAATGCTGATTGCAACTTTCAGTATTTGTTTAATATACTTTCTTTAAATCGACTTATAAACTCACCACAAAATTAATATAAAATAAGTTAATGACATATAGATAGATCACATGGAAGACACGAAGAAAAACTGGCTTTATATTTTGAAAGGCTTAAAATTTAAAGTTTTGGCAATAGATTCAAATATTATTTTTAGAATTCTGAAGACTAAAAGCATCATAGAACTAACATGTTCTCAGCAAAATGTGCAATACTCAACTAAATTTACAACCACAACAATTGTTAACAAATCAGTTTTAACATGATTATCTTTCCAATCTTTCCTCTTCATACATCACCATAATTCCACAATTAAAAAGAGCGAGGAATCTGGAATTCCTAAATTCCTTCTGTGCTACTCCCATGTGACCCTGTTTGAAAATTTTGGTTATTTAGTGCAGAATATTCAAAAGCAGAAAAAAGTATTAACATCTGTGAACATTCCAATAGTATTTTACATCTTAAAAATTATTGCATAGTTTTATGCATTATTCTAAAATACTAATATTAAATAGTTTTATAGAAACCACACAGCTGTCTGTGCACTAGAGCATTTACTACCTTGATCTTCTATCCTTTTTGGATTTGTCTGTACATTTATCCATAGTCTTCTCATTGTCTCCTCTGCACTTTGGGCAATACCATTTTCCCTTTGGTTTATAAGTGAGTCCGACACATGAAAAATGAAACCACTCAATGGGACACAGATCATTGTCACATCCTATCATTTCGCCATAAGACACTTGGTCACAGAGACAGTAAGTTGGCTCATTAGGGTCAACTGCAAATTCTACTGGTGAAGCTTCCCTTTCTTGTTTAGCTTTAGAGCGTTTTTTCTTTTTAGCAGATTTGGATCTTTTTTCTTTAGGTGGCTGGTCATCATACTCATCAATTCCATTGGCTATATGGCATATATCACGGCTTTCACTAGTACGTTGTCGACGGGGTCTTCGTGACGATCTTTCTGGTTGACATGGATCCTGTTTTGACTTTTCAATAGGTTTTTCAGTATCTGACAGATCTTGAAAGCACTGAGAGTGGGATTCTATCTGACGGGCTCTGTTCTCCACTAATTCAAGCATTTGAGTAACTATTTGGATTTTTTCGTCTCCAAGTTCTTGACTGTTAATCAAAGCCCGCTGAAGATACTGCTGCAAACGCTTTTTCTGTGCAGGATCATCTTCTGCTCTGTATTTTTCATACACCTCATCAATTTCTTTCAAAGCTTCTGTTGAAAAGCATCACAAGAGTATCATAAGTTCAAAATCCCTAAATCATTATTTTCTATTTTATGAATATTACATAAAAAGTGCAAATTATAATAAGCCAGGGCTAGCTCCACAGTGCCTGACAAGACCAGCAAACTGCTATTCTACTTCTGGCAGCTGATGTCCTGCTCTGGAGCGGTGAGGCACTTTAAATTACTTTTGAGCCAATAAACCAGTATGCTCCTTTATTTACTCACTCAGTCTACTTTGCTCTTGTTTCACTTGTTAACTCAACTGAATATGGGCAAGGAGTCATGACAGATTCTTTTGGGACACCCCTCATCAGATGCAAAACTATGCTTCCCAAGGCTTAATGTTTCTAGTTACTGCTTTGTGTTGCAGAAAATTACTCAAGGGGCCACATGCTGTCCGTAGACTGCACATTTGAGACCACAATTTTACAAAATAACAAGTCTTCATGATTAAAAAAAATATCATAAAGATAGTTCATTTTTTAACATATAGCACCAAAACCAAAAATAAAGAATATAAACATTCCATACTGGAATATCAATAGTTGCAGATCTTTAAAACATTGCATTTAAAATTGTTTCAGTCCATTAAATATATTCATTAAAAGATCCTAATTTGAATTTACTGGACACCCAAAAGAACATACTTGAAAGGATGCATATCAGATTTCCTCTGCTGGCAATATAAAAAATTTCACTCATACAATTTGATCCTATGAATTACTGGGATTTTTTTAATTAAAGATGTTAAAGTATGTCCTGAAATTTTAGAATCAGACTATTTTTGGAAAATAATGATTATTATGGGCTCTTCCTAAGAAAATTATTTTGAGAAATTGCAGTTATTCTTGATATTAAAGATTTGAGAGATATGTGACTTACTCATTTTTGAAAAGCCAATTTTACCAACTAATAAAAATGGTGAATTTTTTTTGTGGCACAGATTTTATGACATTTTTTAATGTTAGTCAATCATATTTTTCCCACTTTCATATCACCACTTTTTGTTCTTTTTGGTTTTTGTAGTTTCTCCATGTTTTTTCCGGCAATTTTATATTTTGAAATTCTATTTATTTATTTTTAAAGAAACAAAACAACAAATCCATATACATTTATTAAATGTATTTGATGTTCTAATCTAAACGCTAGCAAAGTAGAACCTACTATAAATAACATTTGAACAATGTATCTATTATTTCCAATATAAAGTTTCATTATGGAGTGAATTGCAGCATCTTTTAAAAGCAAAATAGGAACAAAAACTGTTGATAGGGTAGTTATATACCAAAATAGCCTTATTCAAGGTCAAAAAAGTAAAATACTATTTAATACATTAAGGAAAACCAAAAATGCTTTTTATTTGATTTATATTATCTTTTTCTTAGCATCTGAAGATGATGTGCAATGCATAGCACCACACCTTCAATGTCCCACAACAGCAACTCTGTAGGCTGAGGTACAATAGTGCCAATTCAAAGCCATGTAAAATTATATCCAACTATCTTCAAAAAAGTTTAGTGACAATCCTCAATATTCTTCTGGTGTAAATGCTGCTAAACTCAGTAAGACTTTTTCATAAATTGGTCTGTTGTGTGCTTCTCTCCCAAAGTAATTCTCACTTCAAAAAAAGGCCAACACCTTCCTTTCCCTTGACTGACCCGAACCTCCGGTTATTGGTACAAAATGTCCCATAATCAATGAGTTTAAATGTGGAGGAGTCCCCTCCTTTCCCCCAAAAACCCCAAAACCCTTTAGTAGCTTTTCTGACACTGCTGATGTACTAACGAAGAGCATATATATTATAATTCATAATAAAAACACGTGTACCTGGGTCTACTTATACAATTGGGCATTATATTTGAATCCTTCCCCTTTAAACATTATTTAAGTAGCATTATCTTTCCTGCATTCTACAGTGGTCTAAAGTCAGAGTCTCCAATCTTGGCAAGTTGAAGCCTGGCGGACTTCAACTCCCAGAATTCTGAGAGTTGAAATCCGCCAGGCTTCAAGTTGCCAAGGTTGGAGGCACCTGGTCTAAAGGACTGGATACACTTGTACTACTCTGAGACAAGTAAAAAAACTACCTAGCAGCAAGTGACTTTGGAAACTTATCTTCTCTCAAGATCGGCACACATATGATTAGCCAAAATGAAAAGAGTCACCTTACTTACTCTCATAAAACTGCTGAAACAGCATTGCGTTTATCCCCAGCTCTGAAACATAACCGCCCACGGAGGGAAGATCTTACCGAACGATGCATTTTCACGCATTTGTCACATCCGGAGCATCATCCCAAACAAGGAAACCTGCCTCTTCGTCTCCTCCTCACTCGCGGGACCGTGACAGAGGCCCGCGCGAGAGCGCGGCAAACCGAGGCGACTGTCAGCACCAGAAGCCGGAGCGGCCCCGGCCGCCACCCACCCGGCGCTTCCTCGGGGCCTAAACGGAGCCTCTTCGGGCCGGCTTCTTTCTAAGCGCCTGCCCTTAATAGGGTGGGGTGAGGGCAACAGAAGGGTGGCCATTTTCTCTGCCCCCAACCCCCGAGTAGGGAGGAGGGTAAGGGGATCGCCCCTCCTCTTCAGGAGGAAGAGCGCTCCGACTAAGCTGAGGGGAGAGCAGCCTCCATAATCGTTTGCCAGCGCCCGTCATCGGCGCAACCCCCCCCCCAATCGCGCTCGCGCCCCTCTTGCTCACCACGGCAGCGCGTGTCCATCTCGCGCAGAAGCGAGGCCAACCTCTGCATGTCCAGCGGCAACGACTCGACGCACTCCAGGTAGTCTTGCACGTAGCGCGCCAACAGCTTCTCAGACGCCCCTCCGCACGGGAAGCTGGCGATGCCCCCGGCCCCGCCGGCGGCAGGGGCAGCAGAACCGGCAGCTGCCCCGGCCGTAGCCCCAGACCCCGCCCCCCCGGGCTGTTGCCCCGGCGACCCCAACATCGTTACTGGACGTGACACCCCCTTCCCTCTTCGTTCAGCCCGCTCGGATCGCTCCAGGGCAGGGAGGGAGGAAAGGGGGCAGTGAGGGAGACTCAGGTGGCTGCGCTTTAATCGGCCGAAGGGGAGGGGGGCTAAGAGAAATGCTCTCCTGCCTCACTTGGAACTCCCCGCCTCTTTTTTCCTTCCTCGCACCCCCTTCGATCCGCAGAGTACGCATGCGCAAGGCCCTGTCCTTATAAGGCGCGGCCGGTTCACATTCTCCCGCCTTCCCCTTACGACCTATGCCATTGGCCCAGTATGGTTGGACGTCAGAAGACAAACGGGGCGGGAGGGAAAGGCGGGATTTCATTTAAAGAGACCGAGTCAGAATTGGACTCTGCCGGGTCCCAAGGAAACGTGCTATCTCCCCGCCCTAGGCCGCTCCCACTCTTTCCTCCAAGTCTCTCCGCTCGGGGAGATGAGCGGTAATAAAGTCATAGGAGTGAAGCATATTAACGAGCACGTGCCGCCCACTGCTCTTTTTCACCCATCCTGCGTCTTTATAGTCGGCCATGGAAACAGGCGCAGGCAGGGCAAGAGCTGCGGGTGACCAAATTCAAGAAAAGCAAATGTAACTCCCAGGCAGGGTTTTCATGACATCCCGGCCGCACTGACCCCGGCGTCACACTCGGGATCTGCGGTAAAGTCTGAAATGAGCGAGTGTGAACAAATGAGCATTAAGTCGCCTTAGAAAGAACCTCAAACTCCTCCTTGAGAGCAAGAGTTACGCCTTCTCTTCCCCCTCTCGTCGTCCCGCGGTCCTCCCAGATCCCGGCTCTAGTTCGGTGGCGCGATGCAATTAAGCCGAAAAAGGAACAAAAAAGATCAAGTGAGGCTACTCTTGGGGTTCGGAAAGCGAAAACTAGCAAACTGCCAGTTTTTCTGTGGATCTAGACTAGGTTTTTTCTCTAACCAGCTTCCCAGGAAGAGTAAGCAATTTTGGTCACGAGCTACCTCCGTGCATTGTTACATTTAGCAATGGTTTTCTCTGGCCTGACTGGGGAAGGTAGCCGAAAAAACAGGAAACCCATGTTATACAGTAAACAGTATTTCTAGAGCTACGTATATTCAGAAGCCTGCCAAAGACTCCCGGGGACTCTGGGAAAGCGTGCCACAAACATAGACATACGTCAACCTGCTCTTACAGGTTTGTTTTATATTCCGTTATTCGGAAAAACATCTCCCAACGCGCTGACAAGGAATACAAAGTTACAAGATATTAGTGCAAATATTATTTGTCGTGTACACATGCAACAGCCTTGTCAAAAGCCCAAAAAACAAGGACAAAACCTTTGCATTGACTAATCGTAGAAAAATACAACCACAACCATTCTACAATGATTCTTTCTACACTTTCCGGGACCAATAAAAAAATCATTGGTTTACAAGACCTACGTGGTTGCCCTGCAGAAGTCGCAGTTAAGGCTCTGTAGAGGCAGCGGCCAAGAAAAAAAAAGAAAAAGAAGCGTCCTAAGAATGAGCCCCGTTTTGTTGGTGCGACCGCCTCCTTGGGAAAGGAGCACATGCGCACTACCTGCGTAACTATGGAGCTGACGAGAGCCCCTCCCGCACTCACCCGCTCGGCCCTGAGGGCTTCTTGGCGGAAGAAGCGTGAGTTTGCGAGAAGGTACAGCGCGCGTGAAAGCACGCGGCACTCTCTGCCCGGGGTCCGGGGACTTTCCCCTAGGCGGCGAGAAAGCCCAGAGGAACAAGTCCTCCGCAAGTAGCCTAGAGAGCAGGTCTTCAGAACGCTGATGCGATAATGTTCCCATTTTCACCTTTATAAAACTCTGTTGGACCGGTTATCTTACAGGTTATAGTGAGCAAAACAAAAGCAGCGAAAGCAGAATATATTTTCTGCTTGTTTGATTTCTCGAAACACATGCTATTTCTTAAATCATGGCCTTTTGCTAGGGAGTGAGGAAGAACAATTCTTATCAGAAAACCTCAGATTCTCATCTTTCATCTCCCTGCATATATTATGCAAATATTCATGTCTCTCCCTCCCCATTGCTTGAGTCAAACAATGACGTGCAGGCGAGTTTGGGATTGGTTGAAGAATGTAATTTCTGAGTAATTAACGAACTAGATTGTTCGAAGGTTTGTGGCTAGAAAAGTAAATGATGTTAAACAACTATTTTAAAATAAATGAAAACAAGAATAAAAAAATAGCAGGAAAACATGAATAGGGTGCATTCCATTAATAGCCATATAAATACCTAACAGGATCCACTTTTTCATGGGGTCCCCAAAGCCCAACAGGGTTGGGGCCAGCCTCATCTCAGGGGGAGTTACTAGAGTAAGATTAATGAGAAACAAGCATTTCTCCTTGATCATACATATATTACGATATGTATCTTATGATAAGGTATGTTATATCTCTTTATTACAGCCTTAGAACCCAATATAATTGAAATATCTACAGATAGTCCTCAACATTAATTTAGTGGCAGTTCAAAGTTTCAATGGCTCAGAAAAAAGTGATTTATACCATTTTTTACATTTACATTGCAGCATCACCATATTCCCCAACACATTTAAACTCAAAATTACTTGAGTTTTACTTGAAACAATAGGTCCATTGCTGGAAGAAAGTGACAAGCAACAGGGAGAAAGCAGAACTATTTAACTCATTTTTTTGCATCTGTCTTTACACAAAGGGAAAAAACAGTCCAACCTATCAAAAACAGCACTACAAAAATCAGGAACACAAGTTGAAATAGGGAAGAAAATGGTAAGTGAGCACCTGTCTACCCTAGATGACTTCAAATCACCAGGATGGATGGATTCTGAAGGAACTAGCAGATGAGATCTCAGAACCAATGAACTATATCTTTCAGAGATCCTGAAGCACCGGGGAACTGCCAGAGGACTGTTTTATC